TACGAAGAATAGACTCATTTTCCTCTTTTCCAATTGATTCTTTGGGTTCCAATGGAGGAGCATAAACTTGTGGATTCTCAAAAACATGTTCAAGCTCTTCAATTATGTACTCAACTTTATCAGGCAAAGACATCACTGAAAGCTCTTCAGGTGATTCATTTATGTTGGTGAACTGAATGATGAAAAAAATAAATTAGCTTGTTTAAGGCAGAATATGTATACAAAATGTAGATTTTTTGTAGATAAATTATATTATCATAAATAAAGACCATTTACCTTCATCCATTCAGGCTTGATCATTTTGTCTTCAACTGCAGCTAACCAAATCTGACCCTTAGTAGTTGACCAGTTTAGTATGCGAGGGATTGAATTCGAAATCTTTGTAGCTATATCAATGTTGACGGAGGAGCAACACTCATACAACTATACTTGCATGGCTAGTAGGAATCCTTGAATGAGATAAGAATGAACGAAAGGATTTAGCCTGTGCCTAACAGATTCAATCAACTGTCTGTAAGACTGAACACCCCATGGAAATGACTCGTACTGACCGGATTCAACCAAATAAAATCTAAAATGATCTACCAATCCAATATGGTCTCTCTATGAAGGACAAATGAAATATTCTATGAGATATAGAATACATAACTTAACTGCATCCTCATCGTTGATCCAGCTTTTGGTGGTTACTATCTGTTTTAGGTATGTCTTCTCCACTTTTACCTTGTTTGGAAAGTAACTGTTCATTATCTTATTGACATAACTAGGAGTGTAACCAAAGTCTATCACCTCAGTATGACATCTAAGACCAGTTATTACTGCAAACTCTCTCAATCCAAAATTTAACCTCTCACCTTTTAACTCAGCTATAAAATAGGAAACATCAGATGATTTCAATTCATACTTCATAAGAAGATGAATAGCTTGATTTTGCATGCATAAATTGGGAAATGACAGTACATAACCAAAGCATGTCTTCTTGAACAGCTTCAAACCATTTGGAGACAAAAGCGCTTTAATTTGGCTAGGAATGTTAGGGTCACATAATGTCTGGAATCTAAGCACCCCATAATCAACATTATGGGATGCAAAAAAATGTCCATTCTGCAAAATTCAACAAATGTAATCTAACATTAATATAGTAATTAAAAAACACTGATACATTTGTATGTTTCTACAAAATAACTTCAAAAATATACAATATAACAACAATGTTAAATAGATCAACAAATCTACAATTAAACTACAAAATTAAGACAATTAATCTCACATAATTTCATTGCTTAAAAACATAGATACATATGCAATTTATATATAATATTTCTATAAAAATCTACAAATAAAAAAACCCACAGATTATGTAGATTTTTAACAACTAAAACAGGCGAAATAAGTAGTGAAGAAATTAAAAATTTCTTACCTTCACCAATGAGTGTTTTCGAACATTTTTAGGAGTTTTAACACTAGGGGCTTTTTTTGAATATTTCTTCTTTTTGGGAGTTTTTGAACCGGGAGCCACCTTAGATTTCTTTTCAGGTTTACTAATAGGCACATCTTCTACAAAATCATCATCTAGAACTATCCCTTTTCGTTTCCTATCCGCTTGTTTGATTGATCTCGAAGATTCTCCAACATCGAAATCATGTTTTTGTTTAGTTCTAGCTTCAGCCCTGATTTGACGCGGAGAAACACTATGCTTCATATCTACAATTGCATGTGCGGATTTTCCTTGCTTTTGGGGTGAATGTGGTGATAATACACCCAAATCGAAAGAAGGTACATTTGATTCTAGATCTTTTTTAGGGCTATGTTTTGAAGCTTTGTTCTTCTTCATTGAGAAATTTTGAAGTTGTAGCTAAATGTGTGTATGAACGAAATTGAAGATTTGACTTCAATTTTGACTGGTTTTGTAGAAGAAAAACCTTGATTTTGGACGTTAATGGTAGATGGTTACCTTTATTTTTCTGATTTTAGCAGAGGGAATAATGGATAGAATCGTGTGTGTGTCGTGATACGTGGGTGAGGTTGTGGGTTTAAGAGAGAGAAACTTGTGGGGGTGGGGATATGAGGGAATATACAGTACCATTAATTTAGGAGTGATATAAGGTACAATTAATGTACAGTTAAAACACCTTATGGTATAGAATTGATAATTAGGTATACTAAATATAATTAAATCAAACCTTAAACATTGAGAATAATATATTTCCTATATGACATAGGAATGTAAAAATTCCTTCCTCAATAGTACGACATCATTACATCATCATAACCAGCCTTCGACATTAAGCAAAGTAGCAATTATTAGTTGGAAATATTCATACACAAAAAGATACTATATCTCTTCTGAAAATAAGTGAGAAGGAGCTCTCTGTACCCTTCAAGATATTTTATTTTTGAAGGAATTATGCAAATTCCTTTAGAAAATGTGTTTTCATAGTTAAACAAGATAACAGTTGTCCAGTTATAATTATACTTATCTTAAAATTTTAGAACTGGTAATGAATTTCAATTTCCCACTCCACCACTACCGTTATCTCCCACTAAAGGGAATCCAAGAGTATTGGGATGATGGAGCGCCAAAAGCATACATAAAATAATCATCTCTAATCATAAGTGCAGAATTGATTGAAAAAGGCGAAATAAATAAAATGACACTAAATCTGGTAGACAAATCCCTCTTGTACACTCTGTAATCGCGGGAATATTATTAGACATCTAAACATTTTAAAGTGTGTCTATTATACGCCACTTTTGTGTTTGACAACTTCTTTTTGAAAATTGCATCACACGTACTAATTAGAGTGTGACACGTGTCATAACTCAAAAGAAAAAAAAGAACCTAATTTACACCACAAATAATAATATTTTAGAAAAAAAAAAGAAAAACAGAAAAGAAATTCCCCTCCACCCCTATCCTCATCTTCCCCAAGTCCCCTCCCCGATTCTTTAATCTCCCCCACCCAACAGTTGATTTTCTATCGAGTTAAGATTTTCTCTTAGCTTTGAATCCCTTGAAAGATTTTGTAAAACTTTTTGATGTGTTGAACATAACTGAAAACGAATTTGAAGAGTTAAAAAATATGGATAGAACTGGAAGAAAGAGAGAATAAAGAGGAAGAAAAAAAGTGCACTGATTGACAAAAGAATATCACATTTTCCGGCAAGACATCCATATTTTCCGGCGATTGAGCTTCCCTTTTATATTTTTTTGAGCTCAAATTTAGTGAAGTGCACATGGTAATCCATGTTAGACTTCCCAGGTCAGTTTTTAACAATAAATCGCCAATACATTCGGATTTCAAATCTGGATTTTTAAATAGGAGTACAATTGAAGGCTTCTTCAATGGTACCTCTTTTTTTTTTTACTCTTCAAATTCGAAAATTTGAGTGAGTAATAATACTCGATCCAAAGTAGTTAATTAATCAACTTCCAACACCCAATATCGCTTTATTCAACAACTCAAAATTCAAACTCCAATAGAAATGGGGTTACCCACAATGGAGGTTTACTTGAATTTGAAAATGGGGATAATAGTCACCTGAAGACAGGGATAACGATTGGGAAAATGATAAAATTTAAAAAATGAAAAAATGAAACAGTTGGACACACGGCTTCCATAGAGAGCTTCAAACATACAAAATTTTCTATTCACGCGCCTGATTCATGTGTAGGATACGCGGAGTGCTGCCTACCTAAAGTTGTGGGTAATAGACATACTTTAAAAATTTTGGGTGTATAATAATACTCCCGTAGTTACCGAGTGTGTAAGAGAGATTTGACTGCAAGATTTGGTGGCATTTTATGTATTTCGCCATAGAAAAACCAAAAGTATGAGCAAACTGAGGCCTACTTTGAGAATTTTAGGGAGCCAAAAGGGCCAATTTAACGGGTCTACACCCTAATAAAGAAAAGAACAAAGTTGATGACAATTAAGTAGTTGGGACGTCCCCTATACCTTCTCAAAACTCATTTCTGGCTCACCCACCACCTGATGTTATCTGATCAGACTTTCTAACCCTTCTGTTTTTTGCCGTTGAAATAATGATGTCCACCAAACCCTCAATATTTTTAGCGTGCAAGTTTTATGCACTCTAATCCTATAAAGAATATTTATGCAATCAAATAAAACAGAACAAAAGAAACACAGTTGAAGATTTAAGAATTGCAAATTATGTTTCTTCCTACTTCCTACTTCCTAGACCGCACAAATATGAAAAAGAAAAACAACTAGATGCGAATGGAGCTTTGAAGTATTCTATTTAAGATGTATAAATTTATACGTAAATGTCTTTAAAAATTACAACAAATAGTAAGTATGAACTTATTAGGCCATTCATTCTTCTCTCATCTCTCATATTCTTGATACAAAGCAGTCTTGAGAGCACATTAACAATCTATCAAGATTCAAATATATTTTTTTTTAATTGGGGGTAGGGTAAGGGGAAAATGGG